GGAAGGACGTATTTGTCGGACGCATCGGAGGACTCTTCGGTTTGGGACGTCCTTCGTCGCGGCGCTGTGACGTATGCGGCCGATGAATTCGGCCTTCAGAGGACCCGGCCTGTCGTTTTGGACACAGCCTTTGTGTTTGGACCTATTTGTAAATAGTTTATTTAGCTTCTGTAAACCCAAATTGAGTAACTGTCCAATAAAATATCTGAAAATAGGATTTAAACAATACGATCCTCACCTGTTASAACATGGTCGCTGCGAGCTCTTGCATTGTTTCCACAGCTCCTGTTTTTAGCTTTACGTTGTTGATACGCTACTTTGGGAACAAAAACTGCTTTTATATTTCTCTCGATTAGAGCGGTTACAACAATCGTACACGGCGCAGAGTTCAGGCGTTTAGACACTGAATTAACAGCAGGAAATGTGGCTGTGTYTACTTCCTGCCTCCATCTGCATTTCATGACATCRRYACTACATCATCTGCACCCCAGCAATAAGGTCATCAATGAAGATGTAAATCTTGATCTAAATGACTTTAGTCATTTTGACAAATACGGCTCATTAATGGGGACATTAGTGAATATGAAGAATACTAATTTACGTATATATATGAATTAATTGACTGGGGTGGTAAAAATAAATGAATTATAATTGCAAAGCATTTTGCTCCTTTTAGCATTTATTCTCCTCACTACAGCAATGAGACTTCTTATTTTTTAATGCTTCCTAATGCAAGGCAGTTGGAATTTTGAAGAATAAAAAATAATTATGCCTTTTTTTAATTAAACAACTGAATAAACTGCTTTCAAGGGTGGTGGTCCCATAATTTCTGCCTGGAGTTGTACACTGTATTTTTGCAGTAAGTGGAGTTTTTCTAGTTTTTACATGTTGTAGTCTGTTTCGTACTTGGACTGAAAGTTAAAGTAATTGCATTCATCGTACACATTTTGTTTGGACACAGGTGAAACTGTAAGGTACTAACATTGAGAACCTTTAATAATGTGTTTGTAACTGCAGCTGTCAGAGGAGGAGAAAATCCAGCGTTACAGTATCCTGTCTGAACTCTAYGAACTGATTGGCTTCCATCGTAAGTCAGCTTTCTTCAAACGAGTTGCAGCCATGCAGTGTGTGGCCCCCACCATCCCTGAGCCAGGCTGGAGGGCCTGCTACAAGCTGCTGCTGGAGACCTTACCTGGATACAGCCTGTCGCTGGATCCCAAGGATTTCAACAAAGGTAAGTTTGAACACCTGGAGACTGTGGAAAAGAAAGTACACCAGCTTTTAGTTCTGGGGTTTTACATATCAGTGTATAATAAAAATGATCTTTATTTCTAAATTATTTAAATCAAGTATTTAATTCAAGTACAATATGTTTCACCATATCAATATTTAATAAACAAAAACAAAGACACAATGGAAAAGCTGTGTGTGAACAGAGTTCGTTAGATTTTRGTAAATGGACTTATGGAATTGGACCTAAATACTTAAACACTGATAAATCAGTTTGTGATCAAACTGCTCAATAAAACAATGCTTCATTTCTCATGAAAAATGATCCAGTAAAGGGAATGGTTTATTGTGTATCTGCATGCCTTTACTATGTGATGGAGTCATCAAAAGAAAATTGTAAAATATATATGTTTATTTTACAAAAATATGTGAGATAGTAAACAGATTTGTTAATACCCCTTAAGAGACTAATGATCTTTGAAACTCTGGGTAGTTTGCCATCATTGTGTGCATCACACTGAACTTGGAGCTGAGAGGCAAAGATGAAGTTGAGCTCAGGAAGAAGAGTCCTTTTCAAAGGAAAAGGCTACAAGACCATTTCCCTGCAGCCTTATGTTTCTGTGACTGCAWCTGATCAGAATAAACATTAAAAGCTTCATAAAACTGTATCCAACTCCAGCTGGACGCTAGGGATGGGRATATGGACTAAAAAAWTATCATGATAATTTCTAGGTTTTATCACAATAACAATAAGTGACTATCTATCTATCTATCTATCTATCTATCTATCTATCTATCTATCTATCTATCTATCTATCTATCTATCTATCTATCTATCT